AGGCTGCAACAATTCCATCCACTGGCCAATATGGGCCATGACTTCCATATAACTATTTAGAAATTTGGTTGCATAGAAATGCACATAAATTCAGGAGTGAAGATTTCTGACTTATCAGCACTTCTCTGAATCTCCTTCCTTTTGACAAGAAGTATAAAACCTCTGCCATTGAAATCATGGCAAAATTCCAAATAATTCTGATGGAAAGGTAAGTCAGACACTGCATGTTTGAAAGTACCCCTACAAAAATGCTTTACTAAGCTTTTTATCATTTTGTGGAACTTTGTTTAAGCATATAACCATGCAGGTAAGAACATTTTGTCATTTACAGGAAGAGTTTGATCATATGTAGCCAATGATTTGAAGAATAAAGGGAGTCACACTAAGCAGGAGAGTTACACCAGCAATAATTCTGGTCTTTATTTTCTCAAGTGTTCAGAGACTTTTGGTATGTCTCCAATACACTCTGGCACTGTTTGATATTCATCAATTACTTTTACAACAGTTGTAATTCACTCAAAGAGTTATGTCTTCTTGCATGTAGGTTGACATACTTTTGCTTTGTAGCAAACACTGACCTTAGCAAGTATAAAGAACGTTATTTCATTAAACAAATACAGGGATGTGTGAATGTGTGCATATATACCTGCTAACTTTTAAGATAAAGATGGGCTTTTGTTTCAATTTTTATTACCGTATCCAGATTGTAACCCTTTTGCAACAGGCCTTTTTAAAGAAAGTGAACCTCCTCTGCCCTGGATGAGCTTTGAATTTAAATGAAGTAAAGTAAGAGGTGGAGATTTGCAAAATGCTGGTGAGAGTAGATAAACAGGACTCCCATGCTTGTATTTTACTACCTAAAAATACAGTTCAAATTCAAAGCTACTATATTCTTTACAATCAATAGGTAGAGAGAATCAAATCACATCATAAGTAGATGTCTTAAGTCAAATGAATGGTCTCCTTGAAGTACTTAGGGCAATTACTTCAGAGACATATAATGTTTAGATTCCCCTTTGCAAAAGATTAATTTAGCCCCAGCATCCCAGGGTCCTAATCCAATGCCCTACCAAATGGATAATTCAGCATCTCCTAGTGACATTTCTTTGATTTTACAGTTAGGATAAGGTAAGGGTTTTGTAAGACTGAGTTTCCTCAGGTTGTTCCTTCAGGTACAAGCTAATTGGCTATATGTTTTATCCAATTATATTCAGCCAGTGCTGTGGTATGGAGAATCTGCACAGGCTACTATGGTTCTTGAGTGGTTACTTCACTAGACTGATAAAGGATATATCTCATGCTCAGACAGACCAATTCCATTGAACAGGCTCCAGTAAGTCTCTGCAGAAACAGAGTTTGTATATGAAGGCATTGGTATACTTTATTTTTCTCTACTTTATTAAAGCCATACTTAAGAGTGGAACATCCCAGCTGCTGGTGCACACCAGCTAATACACAGGATCATTTCCGTTTGAGTGTTACTCACCAAAGCTATTAAAAACACATTGATATCATGATAATCAGCGTTTGGGATCAGTAATGAGTCCAAGAAACAGGTGATCAATTAGAGTTTAAGGTACAAATGCCTCCCTGCATTTCAAATTACGTTTTTGGGGTTATTCTGCTGAAGGATACAGAATCAGACTGATCGTCACTATCAGAGCTGTAAGAATCTGATGATGAACAAGCAATAATGCAGGAGAAAAAAGGGCTAATGGCCAGCTCTGAGAATAGCTTTATGTGTCATTGACATGAAAACAAAAGGCTGAGAGCAATGGGCTTATGGATATTTTCCCATTTTCTACCTTGACAGAGATTGTATTGCTTTGTTTTTTTAAACGGAAATTGGGTATATTTTTCTGCTCTTAGAGTATACACAAGTATGTGTCAGACAAGGCAGAAGAGGTAAAATAATTATCTTGAGGGCAGAATTTCAGTTTAGAGGTAGCTCTCTTCCACTTTAATGACTTTCATAGAAAGTGCAGACAATAGATAGGATTTAATCATTCAGTACTGTTAGCTATATAAAAGTGATGGCGACTTCTCAAGCAGTTCACTTAATAATGAAGCATCAGAAAAAGTATTTGTATGAAAAAGAAGACAGATAAACTGATGTAGCACTGTCCTGTCACGGTTCTGATTCTGGGGGAGGGATGGTTTGTCTCAATCTCAAGAGTGAAATTAAAACACAAACAAGGTCAGACGCTGTTCACTGCAGTTTAATTATCTGTGGATATCAGCAAGCGATAGGTGAGAGGGGGAAGTAGAGGAGGAAGGAAAGGAGAAATGGAACTTCAGAGCAGGGCAGAGACCCATCAGTCCTCAATCTGGATTCAGAGGCATGCCGTCCAGAATTCTCAAATGGCATCCAGTGGTGAAGTCCCACTCAGGGTGCGGCATGGTGACCTTTTATAGTTTCATTTGGCTTGCATCAGGACCTATCTGTGTAAATTTTTCTCAGTTTGGCCTATCAACACTTGGCACAGCTTGTTGCTTAGAGCCTCCAGAGGCCTGTCACATGCACAACACCCGGCATAAAATGGCCCCAGGTTGGCTGCTTGCCACGGACAGGTTTGGGATAAATAGGATGTATGGTTTTTCTTGGTACTCAGGACATAGAGTTTTTCCTGGGACCCAGGACGTATACCCCTACTGTCATGTACGCCATGCATGCAGCAGCGAGCGAGCTTTGAGAGAAAATGTTCTTGTGTTGGTCTCCTACAAGCACTGAAAAATTCAGAAGTCTTTTACTCTCCAGAGGTAAATTCATAAAGATTGCACCTTCAGTAAACAGAGTAGTAAAGTGCTCTAGCTCGGCCAACTTTTCGCACTTGTGCTGTGAGTGACAGAAACTGACAAGATGTATTTGGCAATTAGGGATGCAATTTAAATCTTACTAGGTTTATGAGCATTTGATGTTAAATATCCTAAACACTGGCAATGCCATGTCCTTCTGTGTGATTACGTCATGAGTCTGATGGCGTCTAAGTCACCCACAGTTTACATACCTAGCCACATTTTACAGGTTTTCTCCAGCAGCGAAAGCAAAATACTGCTCATGAACCTAAGAAACACAAAAAATAGTCCAGTCTTCTAGTGACTGTAATTACTGACCTTACTTTCCTAAACTTGATAGCTAGTACTAGTCTGTTCATGCAGTGTATTTAGACTTCTGATTTTGACAGGAAAAAAAAAATAAAAAGAAAAATTGTGGATTTCCAAACACTTTTAAGCAAGAAGCCAACACTGTCAGAATTGAGTTTTTTTACATTCAGTGCCTCTAGATGTTGTACAAGGATTTTTTAAGGGGAAAGATGGAAAACAGATGTCCACAAATCAATGTATTCAAATCTGCACAATCCACCCATACATGATGGGAAAAGGACCTGGCACCCCTGCCCTTCTAAAAACCACTCCTTCTCAACTCATAGCTATGGAAGTTCTCCCCCCAAAAAAGTGGCAGATAAAGTGCATCTGAATTGTCTGTAAGACAACTCAAAGTCAGACCATCTGGCCTTTCTACATAACACAGGGACATCCCCCTGGAGTCCTACAGTTCATTTAATTTATGATTTTGGGGGCTTTCTGCCAACTTTGTTAAGACAGCACCTGGGAGCTCACTCTTGTCAGGATGGTTTGTACTTGGTATGAAAGCTGGGGTGGGACTTCTGACAAGGGCATGTAGTGACAGGACAAGGGGTAATGGCTTTAAACTGAAAGAGAGGAGATTTAGATTAGATATGACAGATATACTTCACAGAGAGGGTGGTGAGGCATTGGAACAGGTTGCTCAGAGCAGCTGTGGGTGCCCCCTCCCTGGAAGTGTTTAAGGCCAGGTTGGATGGGGCTTTGAGCAACCTGGTCTAGTGGAAAGTGTCCCAGCCCACGGGAGGGGTGTTAGCATGAGATGATCTTTAGGGTCCCCTCCAACCCAAACCATTCTATGACTCTATAATGCCCAGGACACGCTGAGACAGGCAGTGGGGACAAAGGCTGGACCTCTGGATGGGTGCTGTAGCTCTGGTGGCTGTGACAGCACAGAGGACAGGTCACAATGGGAGCTGTCTCCAGGCAGCACCACTGCAGTCTGACTTCGGCCAGCAGTGAGTGCATCACGCAGGAGGAAGGCTGGGCTGGGTGGGGAAGATGGCCAGGAGGTTTCTAACTCAGAGTGAGACCCAAGCCCCTCAGGGTAGGGCATGGTATGATCCTTGGGGCCAGGGACAGAGGTGCCTTCCACCTCCCTCAGCCCCTCTTCTATCAGTCCCCAGAGCCGGGGAGCTCCTGTCCCACTACCCCAGCCCTATGTTCCTTCCCAGAGACTCCTACTGAGCTCCCTTTTCTCACACTTCCTCCAGATCACGGTTGTGGCACTCATCTTCTTTCTGGCTGGGCTGACCACCCAGCACAATCACCACATTGATGTGGCTATCGCTGAGTGGATGTGGCAACGTGAGGAATATCTGAATCAGGAGATGACTCAGCTGCTGCAGGAGATAGAGAGGTACAGGGGTGAAGAGGAAGCATTTGCACTTTGGACCACTGTAGGAGCTCTGATCCTGCTTGCTGGCTTCTACTGGCTGATCAGGAAAATGAAGCTTGCCTCTGACAGTCACGGTGAGCAGCACAGCTCCAGCAAGGAGATGGAGGACAACGATGAGGACAAAGACCTCAATGGTGCACACAGTAATGTGAGGTCTTCGGCTGTGTCCACTCCTCCTTAATGTCTGCCGAGTGCTCTGCAAGAAGTCTTTCATGCCACAGATGCACCCGGCCATTGGGATGGACAGCCCCTATGAGGCCTGACACGTTCACGAGAACAACATCTTTTATCGCCTGCTTGTGTTCCTGCAGCCACCCCCAGGGGATGCACCCGGCCATTGGGATGGACAGCCCCTATGAGGCCTGACACGTTCACGAGAACAACATCTTTTATCGCCGTCTTGGTTCCCTGCAGCCACCCCCAGGGCACTCTTTCAGCCTGGAGCTGAACAAACACCACAGGGCAGCTATCAGCAAGGCACTCCAGAGTCTGTGTGGTGCTGGAGTGCACGTGTGCGAGGGAGTCGATTCTGGGGAATATTTTGTGCTTCCTCCACCACCCTGACGACACATTGCCGAGGGATCAGAACTCGACTCTCCTACACACCCTCTGCACATGCTCCTACTTAGATGCGGAGAAAGTCACCTCCTGGGTCCAACTGATGGTGCAATCAGCCTGGTTGCTTCTGCCTCAGTCACACCACTGCCAGCTAAAAGGTCCTGCCCTCCTCCAAGTCCTGCAGGTTCCAGCTGACAACAACCCCCAAGGTGAACATTTGCATGGAGATGATGTTAGCAGTGCAGCAAGGCAGCTCTACCGTTGCCCTGAGCAGAGAGTAGGCAAAGGAGAGCTGTACAAGCAGCACCCTGTGGCCGGAAGGCTGTACTGTTGAGATGCCGCTTTGCAGACTCATGGCATGGCACAGCCAACAGGACAATCTCCACCTCAGGGGTCTACAGCTCTGCGCCCATATCCTGGTGGTGTTATTTTCGCTTTTCCACCCATGCCTGTAACCGTGAGGACCTGCTTTCCTCTCAGACTGATGGGTCCCAGGGGACAATTTCAGACAGTGAGAGAGAGAATCTGCTCAGGGCAGAGACTGCCTGGAGAGTCTGGCTCTCCTACCAGACCTGAAACAAATCAGACCGTCAGGATGCTGCGGACCAAGGGTTGTATTCAACACTAATGACTCCTTCTTTCCTTTCTTTCTTTGTCTCTTTCTTTTTCCCTTGCATCTGCAAACTTGTTATTGGGCAAATAAAGTTTCTTGGCGTTTGACTCTGTTTTAATTCTTAATTCTGTTCCCAAGAATACAGGCAGAACCTTGCCCTGGTTTCTTGAACAGCGTGCGACAAATGGTCCAGCTGAAGATGCCAGTGCATGGGACCATCCATCCTGTTGGACAGAGTTCATCTCCTCTGGGACATTTACATGACACAAGGATGACAATAAGTTAACTTACTTTAACCAACCCTCTGTCTGTGTCTGTCAAATGAAAACACATGCAATACCATCTGAAGACCAGAAAGCATGTCCTGACTCTGAGGGTGCTCACACAGGCTGCCTGGGGAGGTTGTGCAGTTTCCAATCTTCAAAATTCATCTGTACACAGTGCTGGGCAGCCCACCTATTCAGACATTTGGCTGCTTTTTTTTGATGGGAATAGGATATGATACTGGCCACCTCAGCAAATCCAGCCTTCAGTTAAGAGTAGGATTGCTGAATATCACACTGGAGGTTGTCCCCTAGGACATACATTTTGCACAAGATAAATGCCATCAGGACACTGGATAATTTTCACATTTTAAAACCCAACAAAAAACGCTGGCCTGACTGGAGGCACTAGGTGTCAGGTGCATGCAGAATCAGGCCTTGTTCCCCTTGTTACAGGCCATGGATAAAATTCCTTAAATTCCTTAATCTGCAGTGCAGTGTGAAAGCTTTCATTAGTATTGTATCTTGTGAGCGAGCAGGACTATCATTGTATAGTGAGCTGCTCAATCAGCTATGGGTCAATTTATCACTTTAGGGTTTATACTCTCTGAATTACCACTTATTGACATTATCAGCTTGATCTCTGATGGCCGTAATGTAAACTTTGATGCTGCACTGTAGATGCCTACTGTGAAGATGGCCTACTTTGAAGATGGCAATCTTCAAAGCCAATGCTGATCCATGCCTCAGTTCTACCTCATATGCTGTACATAGCACCATCAGTTAATGCCTTTATCCTGTTGCAATGCCGTGAACTGCACCAACACTAGTTATTATTACACTGATTGTGCTTTCTGAAGTTATACTAAAAAACACAAACCTATGCAACACTGCATTTATAGCTGGTTCTTCCCTTCCATACAATAGTAAAGACTTTACAAAAATATGTTTGTGAAACAGAGGCCGAATAAGAAAACTGAGAAAATGGAAAAACTGCAATTAATACATCCCATGCCCCTTCCATTGCTAAAAAATATCATTTAAAAATAATTAAAACATAAAAGCACACATAATTATATAAGCATACCCAATTACTAGGACAAAACTCGTGTCTACAATGGGACATTGCAAAGCAAGCCTTATAAATGCACAGCCTGATGTTGGAAGTACCAAAGCACTCATCTGAATAAAAACCTAAGAACAGAAGCTATCAGTTGATGGCATGCATATACCTGTCATTCAAATCAAGATGTGAAACTGGGAATCAACAAAGTAAGTACAAAAGTCCTCATGAACCAACATGAAATTCATGATTATGTTATCCCTGTTAGCGCAGAACTGTTATAACATGTAAAGGAACGACTGTCTTCTACTAGAGGATTGATTTTTTTCTGACAAACACAGAGAAAACATGATGCAATCTAAAATCTACAGTTTAATGATATAGTGACAGGGAAAACCATTTTGCTTATTATAGGATTCCAGATGAAATAAGAATTCCAGGCAGATATTGGCCTACTATTCATTAATAACTCATTTTGACAGGACTTGCTGATATATGGGTTGAAGCACACCATGCCAACCCATCACTACGCAAAATCGATGGGTCTAGCAGGACAAACAACCCAGCTTTAAGAATTTACAACACTGTATGTTTTGATTCTGGATTCTCTAGCTGCTGATGTGTTTCTTGCAGTGGGGTAGAATGGATGTTCTCAGTTTGCTGAACTGTAAAATTAAATAGATTAATTTTTCATACACACATACCATAGAGATATCAAAACTTGAAATTTTTTGCTTGTACTGTGGAATCTTATTACATTTAGTAGATTTAAATATTGCATTACTATATAATATCTAAATACTAAGGTTGTTAAAGATCTTTTTTAAATGCTGCAAAATTTTAAGCTCTTTACCATTCATAATTCATAATCTTTAAGCTATTAAAATTTAAGCTCACAACACTTTTCTTAAAAAAACCCAAACCCAACAAACAAAACAAACCACAAAACAAACAAACAAAACCTCACACACCACAAACCACCCCACACATTCTTTGTAAAGTACTGGTTTTGGAAAAGACATTTCACAGAAGTTTGGGATACAGTGAAGTGAAAATATTACGGTATTAGAAAAGGAGATGGAGCAGGAAAGATCCCTTAATGCCTCTCTCTCCCAGTAAAAGTCTCAATTACTTTCAAATGTTTCAACAGCATATACACCTTCCATAATTCCATTTCCAGAGGTAACATTTATATTGAAGAGTTGAAAAAATTTCTATTTCCATAAGACTTCATAATCTAAGAGGAACTATAATTTTATTGTCAAGGTAGCTGTAGAGTATACAGTGCATCAAGAATAAAATATAAGGTTAAAGATAGTATTTCCTCAGGCTGTTAAAAAACAGAAAATGGATTAAGAGTCTCAGCTATTCCTACAAGGTAAGGCAGGACATATGACCAATTTGTCTTATCTTACCCTTATTTTACACTTTTAGCAGATCAACATCTTCCTCAAATACTGGTTTCGGTTGTGATAAGGATTTCCTCAATGTCACAGAATCGTTTATCTAAACCATTATCAGAAAGCTCAGTGTTCCCATAGTGTTGGATTGCAGCACTAAGAAAACTGTCTGTTATAATACAGCTGGATATTCACAGAAGACTCGGATCACCAGTTTTTCCTCCTCCATATTTTCCCACCATGTTTTTATGTGACACTGAATAGTTCTATTACGGTCTTTTCATGTATTATTTACAGATTTTATGTATCACAGGTGGGGGGAAGAAAATATATACATATATATTCCCTTTTAAATATTAATCTATAGCATTACATTTTGTCATTAGTAAACTAGCTGTAGACATCTGTTTCTCTGACTTCCCTGGATATCAGTTTGGTTTATTCCTAGAAGCAAATAGCCCAAACAACAGAGGAGATGTGAAATTATTTTTTACCATGGAATAATACTGAAGACACCTGAAAACAATGAAGCATGTATATAAGCCCTTATGTATGACTCACATATGTCTTGGCTCACATCTAGCTTAAAATGGTGGAATTACTTATAGGCTTTTAATCAAAGCATAGAAGATACTACTCAGTTTGACATAAGAAACTGGCACTAACTCATCTGTCTCGCTCTTAGAATGGGCCCCCCCAATGAGAGAAACAACTTAAAACATCATTGCCAGTGCAGTGAGTGCAAAAGCCTTCATCCAATAAGAAGAAAATGGAGACAAATGAAAGATCTAAATAGCCTGCAGATGGCTGTAACTTACAGTCACTGCTGATCTTTTGATGCTACTTCTGTCACATGTATGCTCTAACCCATTCATTTTACTAAACAGCACTAAATACTCCTTCCTGTAATACTCCTGAAAAAGTTTCCTTGAATATAGTGAAATAGAATAAAGTCCACCTTCCTTGGAGGATGCAAACATACTACAAACTGAATAGATTTATGCAAAAAGATTTGTGTTTGAATAGCGCTCAGTATCAAAAAACTGTGTAAAAGGATTTTAAGGATACAAACTGGAACAGTAAAAATCTGCACAAAAGTTCACTGGTCATCTACTTCATGCTTCTGATACAAAGCAGCTATAAAATAGTTACTTGGGAATGCCAAGCAACATACAGAGTTTGAAAAGAAACCTTAAAAACTCCAGAGATAGATACATCAGTAGTAACTCCAACACTGCTATCCAACTGCTGTCACTGGCAGAAACCCACAAGAAATACAGGTCTCTGCATGGAGGTCAATACATCATTCAGTCTGATGCTATGCAAAAATATATATAGGCGGTCTATGGTTTGCTAGCATGCCTTGTAAGCAGCTAAATTTTATAAGCATACAAGATACTCCCTTGATTTTCTGGTGCATGATCTGTACATTAGGGATGTTTATATAACCTGGCAGTCAGATACCAATATACAACCAGACAGAGGAATAATATGAGAAGTAAGGAGTTTTCTCCCCCTCGATTTTTTGGTCTTAACTTCCCTGAAGAAAGATGGAAAGTAACAGTGATGTAAGTTTATCAGTGATCCTATTGCTTTTTGTTCTCTCCAGTCATAGAATCATAGAATGG